GGGGAACCCCAATCCGAGCTTGGAGCAGCGCAGGGAGGGCGCGGGGCGGCCGCGATCCCATTTGCGCACTTACCCCCGGCACCGGGCGGCTCCTCCGGAGGAACGGAGGGAATTAAAGAAGAGAGGAGAAGGGAGCTCGGGAAAGGGAAAAAAAAAAAAAAAAAAGGAAAAAAGGAGGAGAGGGAAGGGAATCAATAGCATCCAGCTGTCGAATGGATGGGAAGATGGGGAGAGGAACCGGCTTCGAGATGGGGCACCGAACCTCGCACCCATCCCCGCGGCTTCGGGGAGCTGCCGGGTCGGGCCGATGGGGACGGAGAGACGCCCGACGGGACCCCACCGGTACCGGCAGAGGTTCGGTCCCCTCGAGCGCTGCCCCAATGCCTCTCACCCTAATGATATTGCATCGATCGGGGAAGAAGAAGAGCAGGGGGGAGGTGGGAAAGAGAGGGTGTGTGGGGGGGGGGGGGGGGGGGGGGGGGGGGGGGGGGGGGGGGGGGGGCAAGGAGCTACCGCATTACTCAATTATGTCGCACTAATTACTAAAAAGTCTCTCTCTCTCTCTCTCTCTCTCTTTTTTTTTTCTTCCTGTTGTTGTTTGCTGGGTGCAAAGCTCGGCGCAGGGCAGAGTCCAGCTCCTGCCACGGGGCCTCCGGTGCTGCGGGAGGGGAGGGGGTTGGGGGGGGAGGTTGGATCGGTGGGCGGTGCGGGGTCTGTGCGGGACGTTGGGCAGCTGCAGCTGCAGGGATGGATCCATCGATGGGCGCTCGATGGGGCGGTCGATGCTCTATCGCCATTTTTACACTCAATGAAACCGTTTCAGACGTGGCTGCTTCATCCCCTGTTTGTTTCCTCATCCTCCTCCTCGCTGTGCACCTTTTATTTTCTCCATATCCCTTATATCCCCTAGTGCTGTTTGGTTCTGGGCCCCCCTTCCCTTCCCTTCCCTTCCCTTCCCTTCCCTTCCCTTCCCTTCCCTTCCCTTCCCTTCCCATTCCATCCCATCCCCAGCTTTGTGTCCCATCCCTGCCTGGAATTCCCCCCTAACTGACACCTACCTGGATTGTGACAACCCCCCCATCACCCCACAGCCAGGCAAATTTTGGGCTCCCCTGCAAGAAAACCCTAAGAGCAAACCTTAATACCAAAGACACCCAAATGGCAGGGACAGATTCCTTGCAGATGCTCATTCTGGCCTGGCCCATCCCTGGACCCCATTATAAGGGGGATAAAGTGTGAAAAAAAACCTGTCCACCCCTCTCCCCCCATCCTCCTACCCCAGGACCCTCTACTCCCATCTCACCCTCTGCTCTGCTGCTGCCCACATCCCATGGACAACTGGGGTTATATTGGAACAGTGGTCTTTGCACTCAAGAGGAAGAGGAGCAAGGGAAATCTCATCCCAAATTCAGAGAAGAAATTTTGCCTACAGAGGGATGGGGTGGGATGAGATGAGATGGGATAGGATGGGATGGGGTGGGATAGGATGGGATGGAATGAATGGGATAGGTTGAGATGAATGGGATTTGATGGGATGAATGGGATGGGATGGGATGGGATGGGATGGGATGGGATGGGATGGAACCAGATGAGTTGTGGCAGAATAGGGTGGGATGGATAAGGTGGGATGAAATGGAATCAGATGGGATGCAGTGGAGTGGAATGAATGAGGTGGGATGGGATGTGTGTGACCAAATATATGGGATCTGGTGGATGGAATCAGACGAATGGCACAACATGGCATGGAATAGGATGGCTGGGATGGTTTGGGTTAAACTGTGCTGTGCTGGATGGGATGCTCAGTGCTGGAGCCCCCAGGCCCACCCCCAAAGCCCCCCCCAAACCTGCAGTTTGGTGGTACCAGGAAGAAACGCCCCAGCAGGGCCCACCAAGGGCAGGTTGTGGATTTGAGATTTGCAGCGTGGTTCAATAAAGCTTTGGAAATCATCACATCGTGGCCTGGAGGACTCAGCATGGCTGGAAATAGCAGTGCTGGGGTTCTGTGTGACTCTGTGAGAGACACTGAATGGTGCCAGGGAGGGCACTGAGTGCTGCCACGGCCTGAACACCAGCTCACATCGTGCTGCCTTCCTCCCATCTTCCTCCTCTTCCTTTCCCTCTTATCACTTCTCCATTCCTTCTCTCCCTTCTCCCCTTGTTTCTTCCCCTCTATTCCCTTTTCCTTGTTCCTGTATTTCCACTTTCCCTATTTCCCCCTTCTCCACCACTGCAGAGCTCTCTGTGTGTGTCCCCTTCTCCTTCCCCATTCCCACCTCCAGCTCCAAAACATCACTGCAGTGCTGGGATATTGGGGTTGGGGGTGGGGAGGGGGTGGGGAGAGGGGGGGGAGAAGCGGGGTTGTGAGTTGTGGGTGACACAAATAGGAACAGACAGGTGAGTTTAGGGGAGCAGGAAGCAGATAGCAGATGGGGGGGCAGCCAGAAGGTAGAACTGGGGGGAGTGGAAGGGTTGGGGGAGGGCATAGGGTGAGCGTTGGGGGGGATAAAGGAGGATGTTGGG